TCTATATATATATATATATATATATATATAGAGAGAATGTTTACAGTCCAGTTGTTCTAGCTACCAACGTGGGATATTGGGACCATGACCCCTTAATTCTTCCAACCCTGAGTAGTGGAACCTTGGCTATCTGGTTAGAGTGTGGCCTATAGTGATGATAGCTTATGTAAAATTCCACCCACGAAACAGGAGTTAAGTTCTGGGTGAAGATCATACCTGTTCTGGAAGTAGTGCAATTCTCCCACTAGGTGGCAATTTTTTATTGACACACCCATGATCTATGCAGACATTTTCTGTAGGGATAATGCTCTCACCGGCCCCTCCACCTTATCAGTGTGGGATTCTAGCTGTAAGTGGAAGAGGAGGTAAGTATGTTTTGGAAGTTAAAATTTTCCTAAAATGAAAATGTATTTCCAACAATACTTACCTCCTCTCAAACTCTCCCACCTTTCCTCCCCACTAAGAGCAGGTGATAGAGACTGGGATTGAGTCAGTCTCGAAAACTAATGTTATTTGAATGAGGTGCTTATTTACAGTACCAGGGATAGAGGGTGCATTGATGTGGGTGGAGAGTGTCACAAGATAAATTTTGCCAAAAGCAATTGAGTGGGATATAAAAGACTGGAGCAAGCGAGAAAAAAATCAGACCAATGCTTAGATGGGCAAAGGAAGATACCCTGGCAGTTGAGTAACAGCTACATTATTGGGAATACATTTTCAATTTAGGAAAATGTTAACTTTTGTGACAAGCATTTCTTCACATTTGTATTATCTAGATCAATAAATACTGGAGGAAGGCATTATTATAGAGCTGAACTATTTAAAATTCGTATTATAGATATTTTAACACTGAATCTAGAGGAGCATATGACTTTATGAGCTAGTAAGTGTAACAAAAATCAGACAAGTATTAAATTTTAAAGATGTTTTCCTTAATTGGCTTTAAATGGTTTTCCAAAAATTCTTACAGTATTCTTAAAGTTTAATGCATTTTATTCTTGCTAGGCCACTTTTTTAAATTCAGAACCAGATTTAGTTAGATTGGCTAGGTCTCAGCAAAGCACATGATAGTTGAAACACTGCCTAAAGTATTAACTTGAGAAATATTAATCTGCATAGTATATAATATCAAATTTTCTGAAGTCTTACAAAGCTAATTAAAGGTTTTTGATACTTCATTATAAGGCTACAGTGTAAGTATTAAACTATTTTGGTAAAAAATAAGCTAACTAGATCAGAATTTAGAAGTAACTGTTATAAACTAACCAGAACTACTTAACATTATTCATATCAAAAACAAAAGTACCCATCCCCAGTGATGGGAAAAGTTTAAGTTAATATATCAATTTAAATTATTTCATGGACTTTTAAAAGGTTAATTGTGTTGTACTCTTGGTTTCACATAGAGCCAATGCTCTGAGCTACTTATACCACCCACTGCGAAAAGTAATTGTTGAGCATTTCAGTCGTGCTAAGAGCTGCTCAACAATAACGTATGGTAAATCTACATTTTTGTTCTTTAAGTTACGTCACATTTTGAAATGTGAATAATGGTGTGATTAATTCCTAACAATTTAGTGTAGAATATCCTGCTTGAAAAATAAAAATGTGGCATCAACATTATTCATGCCTGTTTTCCTGTCATTTAAAAAGTAAAATGTTAAACTTTGCCTGCGAGTGCAGCTTTTCAGATGCAGCGTGGGAAGTGGCTGCCATAAACAAGAGACAGGCACCACCTTTGACAATATATAGATATCATTCAACACTTTATTCTTAACCACTCAGTATGGTTTCCAACAATAAGTATGTTACAATGCATGAATTTTGTCTCACTTTTAACTTGCTGCTATAATTTCTTACTTTGCAATACCGGAGCTTATCAGGTTGACAGGATCGCAACAATCAAAGCGTTGAAACTAACTTGGATCTATTTATGAATCCTTTCTGGAAATCTTATTTGTAGGTTAACAATGAAGTTGTAAAATTATTAGGGAACACATGAGAATAGTTATCCTTTTTGCCAAAACAGTTTTGCTGAAGTTGTGATACCAAAGTTTTAGGTGAATAGTTGAAAACTAATTGTTTTTGTCTAGTTTAAAGAATCTTGTGATCCTCTTTCTTATTTGACCATGAACATTATGCTACTTAAGTATTTCTATATACATTGTAAACAAAATATTAATTTATTACATATTTTCACATTATGTTGGGAAAAAAAAAATTTAAATTTGGTCTTTAGTGTTTACACAAAGTTAATAGAGTTAGTTGAAACTATAAGGATTTAAATGGCTTATTGGTAACAGTATATACAAAACATAATAGCATTTTCAATATCCTTTTTTTTTATTAAGTACGAAGGAAAATTCTGTTTTGTTTTAAATGTATTGTCAACTCTGACTATATAGAATTATATTCAGTGGTAAGAGTGAACATTTGATGGTTTTTCCAACTTGTAGGTATGGATTTGTAACATTTGAGACTGAAGAAGAAGCCAAGAGAATGCAGGCAGAGGTAGTTCTTACATAAGTGGTATTGTTAAGTATGTTATATTGGAGGTAACGTACATGTTTAATAACTAATAAAGATACATTTAAAGCAATGGTTTGGTTTTATTTTGAATAACCAAAAACATTAACAGCTAACATAAACTGAAAAACACAGTTTGAAATAAATATAGTGACATTACTTGATTTTACAATCAAAATGCTATTTAGTTCCCTAAGTTATTACTGCAACTGTCAGCATTAGTAATTTAGGTTTAGCATTCTGCAGTGAGTGTGTTTGATCAGTGTTTGTTTGTAATTAAGCACAAAGCTACCCGGATTCTAGCATTGTAAATCTGCAGATATACTGCTGTGCCACTGGGGGACCGATCAGTGTTTGTTTTTCATTTGTTGATGAATTATTTAAAACAAAGAAAATATAATAGAGTTAATGTTATAAATGTGGTTTAGCTCATAACCCTGGGTGAGTGTAACTGAGCTTTATAACCTTCTAAAACAGCATTTAACTCAAATTATTGTAAGTACATTTTCTAAAGAAATTGAAGATTACTGAGAAAGAGGAAAAAATATATATGTAGGTTTTCTATGTACTTTATTATTCTTTGTTTACGGAAATATGCATAGTTGTATGCATTACATATCGTAATTTGTAAAACACATTTTTCACGTCACTGTAAAATATGTTTATTATGTTTAAATCTTTTATTTCTGTTTACTGTATGTGTGAAACCTTAGATGTATGAAAAAATTCTTATGGTAAAAATAAATTGCTGACTTCATAAGAGAGTGGAATGTGGAGAAAAAAAATCTACATTTTTCTCTTATTATTAATTAGAAAACTTGTTATCAGTGTACGATTTCAGTTGGTTTGCTTTACATAAAGATACATATTTTTGTATTTTATTTTGCCCTTTTAAGTAAACTTTTATCCTTCAAAAATCATTTATTTACAGTAATCTTTCCATGTTTTCTGCAGAATTCAGTCAGTCATGTGTTGTGTGTTTAAGTGTTGAGACTAAGTTATTAAAATGATGGCTGATTCACATTCAGACTTGGTTTTAGATGTCTGATGTGCAGTTTCCGTAACTCTTAGTGACACTTTTTTATTATCAAAGCTAGTAATTTTGATGTAGTTATTCTGCTGTATAGAATGTTGCAGTCTAAAGTATATGCAGACATTAGATGTTGAATTGAAGGTCTTCTTGTTTTGTTCTGTAATATGATTCTCCAGAGTTTTACAGTTGGATCAATATTTGTCAGTCACAGCTAGAACAATTACACAAGCCTGCGATGGTTTTATTGTCTTGAATTTTTTACATGTTCTACAGTAATTCCTGTACGCTGAATCCAAAAATGATATCCGTTTTACTCCATCATGTACAGATTTTCACAAAACATCATAACACAATGCATAAGAGACCACAACACACAGTTTTGAGACTAAAAGATGTAGATTTCACACACATGCACACAAAATCTGGATGAAAGAGGATGCATATTCATTTAACATCAATGTTCCTCCCTTTCCTTCAGTTTATTTGTATTTTTGTTAACAAACATAATAATAAGAAATGTTCATTGTGGTAAACAAAATAATAATTTGATCTAAATACGTTTTTTTCTTCCCACTTTGTAAAAAATCCTTACGTGATAGAAAAAAGTAAATATTATTTTAGAAATCTGCGTAGCTGAATTATGGAAAATCCGTTATTAAAACCAAAACAACTTTTATGAAGTTTAAGTTCGTAGGCCTGTATAATTGGGAATTGACAAATTTTTAAAATGTCTTCCATATTTTCTTAGGGCCCCCTGGGGAGTGACACGGGAGTTTGCATCAGACTCCACATCCCCCATAACACCCCTTGGGAACCCTGTCTTTCCCATACATCGTGTCTTCTTATAACTGATGAATCTCTTTATCAACTGTCACTCTTAGGGCCCATTGGGAAGTAACATAGGGGGAATCTAACCCTCTTATGTTTTCCCCTCCTCCTACATTTTTCACTTGCATTTAATGAATATGTCAACTAATAAGTGATAAAATTTTGTCAGTTTGTTTTATTACCATAAAGTTAACACTCATACAAAATAATCTAGTCTGTCATGCTTTTCTGTACTATATTTAACTTTTCATAGTAATAGTTTAAAAAAGTACATTGAAAATTAATATAAACTGAGTGTATAAACAGGTTGCATAAAGACTATGTTTTAATTCTACTTTTTTAAGACTGAAAAATTTGTTTAGTTTGAAAGACAAAATTTCCTTGCTTAATCCTTTCTGGATTATTTATCATTGTGATTGAGGCTATGATAATTAAACAAACTATAAACATGTTGGTAACTCTTATTAAGGAGCACAGCAGAAAGATCACTGAAGTAAGATCCAGTGTTCTTGAGCATGCCTTAGCCTGCAACATTTAGGTACAGTTATGATACATTTACTACCAAAAGAAGGAAGAATTAGCTTGCTAATTATATTAGATGCTATAAAAATTTTACAAGGCTGTTGTACTTGTGGGAAAGAATGAAAAACTTAAGACTCTGACTCTATGAAGGTAGAGTTTTAAAGTTCCATTTAATTGGATATAACTTTTAAATGAGAAATAGTCAACAAAATAGGTAGTATGTGGTCATTATTGCCCTGTGATCTGTTGAATAATACATCTTATTACATGATGGAAGAGCTTAATACTTTATCCAAGGCAGAGCAAATGCAAAAGTGTCTTAGAGACGTCGAATAAAATCTCAGTTTGTAAACAAGATAGAAAATGCATATGGCTTTCACGTGCTTTATAATATTACATTGACAAGTTGTAGAAAAAAATTTGATATGACAGGCCCTTTGTAAACTTACAAAAAAAGGCACATACACAGGTCTAGTTTGGAAACAAAAACTAGTGACAAAAAGGTAACTTTTGTGTAAATTTTTAAAATTTTTTATACAAAACTTTAGAGAGAAAATTTATATACTGTACTTTTTCAAGTCTTTTTTAATACAAAACCAACTGAAGTACAATTAGAAATAAATCTTTCACTATTTTTTGTTGTTGTTATGTAGTGCCACTGCTGTTTAATTCTGATATTGAAAGTGGTGTTGATGATTGATCGATAATTAAAAATGTGTATTTACATCTTGTATTTATGTTACTGCACTGTAGCCCATTTCTTATTGATTTTCAATGGTTTATTTGTATGACTTTTTTTTAAAGAAATAAAGCTGAATTTTTCTATATTTAGTCAGAAAACTTAGTGCTGAAAGACAGGAAATTAAACATAGCTCCAGCAATAAAAAAACAGGTGAGATGTTGTAACTACTCTAGAGTGAATTTCAGTAAACTTTTAACACAGAATGTTTTAACTTAAGGTGTAATGAAAATCTTTACTTTTCAAGGAAGAAACTTTATTCACCATACTAAGTTAAGAGTGGGGCAGGAACGTTTCTACTTGTTTGTTTTTAAGTATTTCTTTTTAAGAGAATATTTGTTTAAGTGATATTCGTTAATCTTGTTTTTCTTTTTTTTCTGTTTCAGCCTTTTGGTAGAATGTATAATGGTAAGTTAAAACTTGAATTTCTTGCAGCATTGTGTACGTTTTAGTAGGTATTAATGTTTAAAGTGAATCCTTACATAGCATTACGATGTGTTATTTATTTGCTGAGATTGTTATGCATCTATTTATATGTTCCATTTTTTTTTTTTACGTAGCAACCTTTATTTTTTCATTCAATTATTAATTTTCGGATTTTCATGAGAAGTATACATTTACTAACATTGTTATGAACAATATTTGGAAAATAGTTAAATGATCTTATGTTATACACAATGTAAATTAACCTTAGTATTTAAAAGACATGGTTAACAAGTAAAAAAAATATTTTATATGTGGATGGCCTGCTGTTGAAATGGGTAGGTGGCAGCCTGACACTTGTTTTCTATACTGTGTCAAAATGTCGTTGGTGCCGATTTTCTGTAGTCAAAATATTGTTGGCACTTACCCATTTCATCAGCAGACTGTCCATGTAAAAACTTGTTTGCCAACATCTATTTCTTATGTGTAGCTTTAATTTTTGTATTTATCTCATGACCAGTTAATTCATAAATTTCATAAAATTTTAAAAAGACAAAAAGGAGCGTATTAGCCCATCAAGGATGTCCCTTCCAGCTCCCAACTATAACCACTCCTCACTAATCATATATTCATCCAATCTTTTCTTGAACTCAGGTAAATTTTCTGCCTCCACCACTCTTGAAGGCAGCTAATTCCTAAAGCCAACCACCCTGTTTGAAAAGTAATACTGTCTAAACTGTAGATGACTCCTATGTTGCCATAATTTGAATTTATGCTCCTTTGTTCTATTGTTTTCACTGCTAAACACAAAAAAGTTTGATGGATCTGTATTATCACCCTCAATAATCTTCAATCAGATCCCCTCTGACTCTTCTCCTCTCCAGAAAAAACAAGTTTAGAGATTTTAGTCTCTCCTCATAGGACAGTCCAATTAATTAGTTTCAGTAGTGGATATTGAAAAGCTTATTTTGTGATTAAATAACTTGAGGATTGCCCAAACCATCATTTGTATTGTACTATAGGTATTTTTGGTATTTAAATAGGATATGACTGGCATGCTCTAATGTAAACTAATTCTGTAGTCAGAACTTAGTATGGGTCATTTTAATACTTTAAGTAGTCCAGCTTGAAAAAATGGTTAAAACCTAGCAGGTATTTTGTATATTTTTTTTTATTTTTAACCTTAAACAACAACAAAGCAGACCTTGGTTTTTAAAGGAATGCTTGCTCTTAGATTATTTATTACAGGAAATTCTCTTTTGCATCTTTAGTACACAAAATTCAATGATTCCAAACGATGGTAAGAAAATTACAAAACGTACAGATATTAATATGAAATATGGCTATTAGAGAGTGATATTGTATTGTTAATCATGATTTATTGCCATCTTTTAATTTCTGATACAACATTCATGCCTACCAAGAATCAACACAACTGGTACCAAATGGGACCATCATTTATCAGAATGGTGTACCTTGTACTTATCATAACGGAATGGCTTTTTACTCCGCTCCTGATTCTTTATATCAAGTGCCTCAGCCACAAGTAAGCTTTATTTTTCTATTATGTGTTATAATGGATTGTACACATACATTAATTTCATGCACTCATATAGAGATCTATTCTTAGTAAAAGTAATGCTAATGTTTTATTCAGTAAAAAATACAAGCAAATTTGAAATTTCCCCACACAATTTAATTGTGATTCATTGGAATATTAATGTGAATTATATTTAAAACATCATGATGTGGGGAATAGGATGTTATTTTCATTGTACAAACATTCATGTTAGTCACCTAGAACTTATTCTTAAGATTATCTACATGTTTGTTTAAAAACAGCACTATGATATCACAGTTTTAAAAAACCACAAATGAACAATAATTGATTAAAATAACTTGATTATTTCTTTGGTAAAGAAAAAGAAACAGATTCCTCAAAAGAAATATTTAATAAAATAAAATTTTTAATTAGTCAAATTTAACCCTATAGCCAACATTATTCTGTTAAAAAGAAATTGTAGGCTTTTTTTTACTTAACTGGAACTCAATACGTTCTGAATGAAAAATAAATTACAGTTCTTTTGTTTGCTTTTTAGAAAAAGAAAAAATTCAAACTTAAATTTTTACTAGTTGAGAAAATATACAATATTTATACATGAATGTATTGATGGAAGAAAGTTTATTTCAGATTTACTTACAGAATGCTTTTAACTTGAGATGAATATGGGTTAGAGACACATGTTTTTTTTTTAAAAAAAGGTCAGTAAGAAGTATAAAGTTAAGTACAATATTATCAATGCCTTGCAGCAGGTTAAGATTAGCATTTTTAATATATAGTGAACTTTAAGTTGATCAATCATATGTGTAGCCAGGAAGCAACAATTTAACACTACGATGAACCAGAATGTTTAAATGCTGAAGTGGTCCAATCATGATGCATAAAATACTTTAAATTTAAATGATACAAAATATAATTAACATCTTCCCCTGTCTTGAAATGTGATTTTGGCCATTCTTTGGTTAATATTTGCTCTCTGCAAACCTAAACTGTGAATTTTTGATAGTATATATTATCTTATCATATTATAGACAACTTACCCTGTGGTTTACGGACAACCAATGTATGTACCTCAGCAACAGTTCCAGTACCAACCAGCAGTGAGTAGAAAAAGAAATGTTTTGTGTCTACAATATTAGCATAAGATTTAGTGTTTTTTTCAAAAAAATCTATTGTATTGCATATTAGTAATTTTACTGCAATATTTTCAAGATTGGGTGTTTGTAAAGGAATAAAACTACATTTTTTTTCTTGTTATTGTAAATTAACTGTTCAAATCATTAATAAGAAGTGAAATTTTGGATAACTGTTCTACGTATTTATGCATTATGAATATCTATAGTGTATTTAGAATATGAAGTGACCTGAATAAATTAAGACTAACTTGAGTAACTCAACTTAATCTAAGCTGATTGTGAATTAGCTTAGATGGTGTGTCTTATAACAAGTAGGCTTTTCACAATATAGAATCTTACATTATTAGAATGACTTGTTGCTTTCCAGAATGAAGTAAGCCCCTGAGTAAGTAATCTTGACTATAAAGCCCTTGTTGAAGTGACTAATTGTGACAGTAGCTAAAAAGCTTGTTTAAGTGAATAATTGTAATAGTGGCTTTAAATCCCTTGTTTAAGTGGCTAATTATGATAGTAGCTTTAAAGCCCTTGTTTAAGTTAATAATTGTAACAGTGGCTTTAAAGCCCTTGTTTAAGTGGCTAATTATGATAGTAGCTATAAAGCTCTTATTTAAGTTAATAATTGTAACAGTGGCTTTAAAGCCCTTGTTTAAGTGGCTAATTATGATAGTAGCTATAAAGCTCTTATTTAGGTGACTAATTATGACAGTAGCTAAAAGCTTGTTTAAGTGAATAATTGTAATAGTGGCTTTAAAGCCCATGTTTAAGTGGCTAATTATGATAGTAGCTATAAAGCCATTGTTTAAGTGACTAATTATGACAGTAGCTAAAAGCTTGTTTAAGTGAATAATTGTAATAGTGGCTTTAAAGCCCTTGTTTAAGTGGCTAATTATGATAGTAGCTATAAAGCCCTTGTTTAAGTGACTAATTGTGACAGTAGCTAAAAAGCCTTTGTTTAAATGACTAACTGTGACAGTGGCTAAAATTAACTCCTTGTTTAAGTTACTAATTTGACTAGAATAAGCACTTACTTAAGTGACTGATTGGATACGTCCTTGTTTAGTTTTTAACATGACTGAAACAAATCCTTGTGTAAGTGAACAGTTTTGGTTGACTAAAGTAGATTCTCTAAAGCCAAGAGTTTATATCACAGGAAAAAGTGATTGAAGCTATTTTTGTTTAACAGAGCTTTGAATGCTGTATGAGTTAGACTCAAAAAAATGAAACCAGTTGATTAATTATGAAGTTACTTAAGGTCTTTAGTCGATTTTTGTTACTCTATAAGCTTTAACCTTATTAAGAATAAAATTTCCAAAACGAATTTCACAACTCTTTTTCGATAATTGCAAAACGTTTTGGCTATAAACGTCACTAAGTGATAAACAGTTTTTGTCTAAGCCATGCAAGCTAATCAAAAAAAAGGTTTTAAATGGATAAAGACTGAAATATTTAACTTTTTTTCAAAATGCAGCAGAACTTTAAAGTCTACAACTGAGGATTCAGCAAGCAGTGTGATCCTTGAAGTTATGATTGAAGTTCATTGGGTTTTTTCTTTAAATTCAGCAAAATATTAAACGTAGTGTAATTATTTTCACATAGTTTAATAAATTAAACCACATGATATCTCTTTTTTTTTTCTATCTCCAAAAACAATTGTTTTCATGGTTATTATATTTATATTCCTTTTAGATGTCTGCACAATGGACAGCCAATAACCAGTGGCATTGGGCTGCAGCTGTAAGTTTAATTTTCTATCTTATTGTTGAAGTTAAGTATTAAATGAGGTTTTATAAATTTTATCTGTTTGGTTGTTCAATCTACTCAGTTTTGTGAAAACCCATTTACTATCTGGACATATAAGATAAATCTGATAATTTGTTGCATATGACTATTGAAATTCTTTCAAAAATGTCCATTTGATTATATATTTGTTATCAAAATGAAGACAAAAATTTGAAATTACAAACTGTGATCTGAGTTTTTAATTATATATTTCACAGACAGTAACATAGGACAGGTAATGTTATTACTTAACTATGTATTGCTGAATAATATCTTGATATTAAAAAACTACAACAAAAAATTAACATTTTGTTGAATATTAAAAATAACAAGCTCAGCTGTAAACTCAGACTTGATTCGTACTGCTGTTTTTGATATTGAGATGATGTAGGTTTGAGATGTCAGCTTTAAAAAGATTCTTGTTGAAATCAACTGCTGTAAAAATACAATGATAAGTGATTAAATTCAAACATTTGGTAAATACTTGCAAGTTTATAGAAGAGTATGAATGTAACTGATACCATGCATGATATGACTTAAATATTATGTATTCAAAGAGTATATTGTAAAATGTTTTTACAGCTAGATTTTGTTATTAAAGTACAAAGCTGGTTTTTTAACAGCACAAATTCAGTGCTAGTATTTATGTATGTAGCTTTATAAGGTATAATTTCTAAAAAAATATATAAGAAATTGCAAAAAAATAACATTTCTTTGTCTTCATACCATTTTTTTTTGTTGTTGTTGCAAAATGTACAATTGATGACAGAGTTGTGTGGTAAAGAATGACGTTGGAAATATATAATACATATGTAAATATTCTAGCACTCAGATTCTTTTTTTTATTCATCAATTCAGACAGACTTATTAGGGCAAAGAAATTTTATTTATGTTCTTGAAAAAGTTATGGCAAGCAGCTGTGTTTAAATGTTTTTAGACGTTGTTGAACTATAGATTAAATGTGTTCTCCAGATTGTAGCTTGCTCAAAATGTATGAAATTTAAGGACTTGTAGGTTGAGTTTTTGTTTTGATTTAAAAATTTATTCTTGAATGTCAAAGTACTGTTTATAAAACAGTAAGCAAAACAGCAACAACTGAAATATGTTTTTACATTGAAGAAAATCAGTATGCAGGAATAAAGCATTAAAACAAGATTATAGCCTAATTAATGCTTTCTAAATGTTAAAAATGTGTTCTTGTGACTTGACCAGTATGTAGATAGAAGTGCAAACAAATATGTGTACATACATAGAAATGTGATTAAGTTTGTTTTTATCTTGTAGTTCTGAAAGTAATTCTATGATACATTATTATGGAATAATGTAGTAATTTGTTGAAAATACCTGCATTCTGTTTTCATTATAGACATCCAACAGTTATAGAAACTGCTCATCTGATTAAAATATTAAGTCACGAAGTTCTAGTATTGCCTGTTTTAGGTGACTGTGAAGACTGAAGGATTGTGTAAATAAATATACTTTATATAAAAAACAACTAAATTTGTGCTGTTATATTGGAATGTTGACTAGTAAAGTATTAAATGGTACATGTTTTGTATGAAACTAAAAATTTGTCTTTGAAATGAAAGTGAAGTATTCTCAGACAATACTTTACTGTTACTTAGAAAATACCAGTTTCTGTATTCATTGTTATAGGCCTGTAAGAGTGTAAGTTCTTTAGAAAAACGATTTACAACTGAGTGCTAGATGGTAGTTGAAGAGTTTGCCTGCCGTGTCAGCTTTCTGGTTTCCAGCTTCCAAAAATTAATTCTGGAGAAGAACATTTAAAATTTTGATAAAACTTAGCATCTTGATGAATTAAAAGTCGTGAATATTTTGTCATTCCAAAAACAAAACAGTTAATGCTCTAGCTATAATTTGTGGAATAATTTGGTTTGATATACTTGGAAACTGCCATTCCATGAAAAAAAATCACTTGCCTGTTTTTTTCTTCTTTTTTTTTTCACTTTTTTTTTTTAATTCAAACTTATCTGTTTTTGGTAGATGTTTTTAATTTTAAACTAAGTTCTGCTTTCAAATATAGTTATTTTGATTTGTTCTGTATGGATCTTGTGTTAAACATAAATGGTCATTTATAATCCATTTTGATGTTAGTTGGAAACCTGTATCTTTCAGGGTTTGTTGTGGAAGTTATGTAGTTGCTGGTATCAACATACTAAGTCATCCTTGTTTTGTTTTATCAGTTATTGCACATCTTAAACAGACTCGGTTTTGTTCAAATAAATTATAGTTAATGTTCTAGATTGTTAATCCTATCATAGTCTGTGGAAGGCAAAATTAGTATGAAGCATTTAGAATGTATAGATTGATTTGTTGTAAAGAACATAGTCTGAATGTATGCTCGAAATACATGTAGATAAACTCACCGGTGGCATTTCAAATCTGATGCTCTCAGTCACCTTCTCAATAAAGCTTAATCTAGATTCTATATCATATGATCCATATAATTAGATAGACTCTGCTTCTGCTGCACGGCCCTAAAAAGCCGTTAAAAACAAGTGCATTGAACTGTAGTGTTGGCCAATGTTGGCTTTAGTATTTGTGATATTTATTTGATACTTTTTTATTTCATTCTTAACTGAACATTACTTTTAAGGCTGAAATATTTTTGCAGCTATTTTTGTTCAAGCTTAGTATGTATACTTGTTATTCAATATAGTAGAGATATCAGACTTTAAGTTTAAAAATTATTCATTCAGTTTCAAAATGTTTTATTTTCATGGGTAATGTGATTTACCCATATTCACTTCTGATACTACTATGCTTTGTTTTTAATCTATGAGAGATTTTATTTTATTGTGTGGTATGTTTCACACTTGTTAACCTTACGTAAAGATTATACATTTAACTTTTTTTTTTACTGTACTGTCTCTCAAGTGGCAAATATAAGCTACTTCAATGCAAAATTAAAAAAACCAATGAAATTTTGGAGCTCTGTCTTTTTAATTGAAATAATTATGTAGTTTTTATGCTATAGCTAGCATTTTGGTGATATTAATCTTTTATGTTAAGAGTATAGTTGAAAATGCATGTATATAGAAAGTTTATGATGTGAACTTCAAATGTCAAAATACTCCAGAGGAGTTGTATATGGTTATATCTACGTTAAATTGTAGAAATCTTGTGCCACAAATAAATAGCATATGATGTGTAAAGAGACCTCTTGGTCAACCTAGGCCATCACATCAACTCAACTGAAAATAAACCATTGTGTTGTCATTTAGAAATATGTATCTTTCAGAGTTTGTTATGGAAGTTAGTTTCTGATATCAAATCATTTAAATCTATGAGTTATGAGTGTAACTTGTAAAAAGTGTTAACAATTATTAGTTTTATAATAAAAAGAATGGTTCAAAATTGGTAGAACAGACTGAGATTGTATTTAGTCTTTTTGCTTCATTATTGAGTGCATGAAACGTTCACTTATGCAGGTAGCACTGTATAAGACTTAAAAAAAGAGTAGATGTTTGTCGTGAAACTATAAAATTCATTAGGAACAAAAATACAGGTAATAGCAGGAAATATCAATTATGTCTCAAGTAGAAATCAAAAATAAAAGCTAAATTTTTTATCCATAGTAAGTAACAGATGTATTTTGAATACTGGTAGCTTGCCAGACTTGTTTCACCCTGTGTTTTAGAGCTGGCTTCTTGCCAAACCTAACTTAGGAACAAACAACTGTGTGTACTATGTATAATCAATTAAGTTTTTATTGCTGTCCCTACATATATTGAAAGTAGGTCAGGGCTATAGTTAGTGTTAGCTTTGAGTTCTGATCATCTATATTCAAATATTGTCTACAATGTTATAGTTAAGTAAAATATGGGTTTTTAATTGTGGGCCATGGTCATGCATCTATTATTTTGCTGTCATGTCCATGAAACTGAAGTTAACATTGTATATAAGAGAAGAAAAACTGAATTTCTTAGTGTACTGCGTGCTTGAAGTAAGCAGGCAAAACAGCACCCCAGAAAGTATTTTTTCTGCTAAAGTATATGGTTTCAAAAACATACACATTATATTTGTACCAAAAAAAAAAGACAGTTTTAATTGACTACATTTTAATGAATTGTAATTTGCTACTGTGGCAATCTATTGCCAATTAATGAAGTTTCTTTCGGAGACAGCTTAAGTTTCATGTAAATAAAGGAACGAATGATGAGCGATAGAAATTAAAATAGCTGTTCCATGATGTAATATTTATTAATTTTTTAATAACCTTAAGTAACAAGTCAATACAATCTATACTTAGAACGACTGCAGGATTGTTGTTTAATGGTTGCCAAACTTTAGCTATTTTACTGATATTTAAAAACTGTATAGATTTATTTAAAATAATTATTCTTTCAATTATGTTAAAAAAAAGACAAATAATATAACACAGTATAGCTTAATGTACTGGTGGAAGAATAGAGAGCTAAATGGATGTGGATACATTTACTGATTAAATTAAAACAAATAGTTCTTTTTTTGTCTGAAGTGTTATAGATGTTTTGCTTTTGTTTCCCAGTCTTTGTACTAAATTTTCTGATTACATACCAGTGTTGTCATTAAATGTTCTACTTATACAGACATATTTCAGTAGATATCCAAATCTCTGAGTCTATCTTTTCATTATGTTTTAATTATAGACTGATATTTTCACTAAGTGTTATACTTTTATATAAATTAGTGGTTGTGTGACATAATCTTCTCTTACCCTACTTCTATACACTGTAGTCCTCACTTAAACCATTTTATTACTGAAAGCTTGTTTCTACTCTAAACTTTCTACATTTCCAGGCCAGCAGTACAGGCTTTCCATCTGTGACTAATGCTGAGGGTGGGGTTCTCTTCCCTTCTGTGGTACCTCCTACATCCTACCTTCTCTCAGACAGAAATTTCTGACATTTATTTTGATGAGACACAAAGAGGGTAATGGACCTGTGCTGTTGTCCATTGTAAGTTAAATACAGTCTCTATACATCAGTATCGTGTGTGTATCTTGTATTCAAATGGTTTGATTGTGTCACTTGCAGTTACATTATGGACAGTAAATTTTGTATTGTATAAGTAATTTTTGCAATTTATGGCCAGTATATGTAATGTATTTTTAGAAATACTAGTTAATATTGAGTGTGAAATTTATTTCTTGGTAACTAGTATTACTTCACAGTTAAGTTATAAACTAGCATATTTATGATATGCTTTGTTTTGTGAAAATTCTTTGTAAAACTTCATCATTTTAATCACATCAAATTGTGTTTTATATCAATTAGACCTGTTCTTAAGTTTTTCTCTTTTCTATCATATCTGGAAAATCTACCAAACTAACATTACTCACAAGTATCATCATTTCCATTACTAGAAGAGGAGCTTAGACATTCACCATTTATGTGTGTAACTTCTTTTACTGGGTAGCTAGCCTTGGATTGAATAAATAGTATAGTTGAATGTTCATCAAACAGTTGATACATAAATATGTAAAAAACAGTGAGCAGTATTAGCTTGTCAGAAACATAAATATGTAAAAAACAGTGAGCAGTATTAGCTTGTCAGAAACATAAATATGTAAAAAACAGTGAACAGTATTAGCTTGTCAGAAACATAAATATGTAAAAAACAGTGAGCAGTATTAGCTAGCCAGAAACATAAATATGTAAAAATCAGTGAGCAGTATTAGCTAGTCAGAAACATAAATATGTAAAAACAGTGAGCTAGTCAGAAACCAGTATGAAGTTAAAAGTTAACATGTATAATAGTTGTTTATGATACACTGATTAACCACTAATAGGGCACTTAACTAAGAGTGAGTTAAACTATTTTGCTTCACAAAATAGCATAGGCTACATAAGATGCAGAAGGTGTCTTGTTTTATTGTTGCTAATTTGTTTAAGAGTATGGTGTGCAATTTCTACACAGATGCCAGCAATGGTTTATGATAGTAAAAGTAATCTTTGAGTACTTTGTAAAGACGATTAATTGAAATGTAATCCAGTAATGATGTTGGCCAAGGAAGAGAAACTAAAGTTACTGTCATGCTTTATGATTGTCTTGTGGAAATGCAACTTTGTGGGGCATGAATTGTTTATATACACTCTGGCTGTTATTCACTCTTCTGAACAAAATATAGAATCCAAATTTTTCCACAAAAAATTTTCCAATATCATTATACTGTATTCAGTAGCTTTCACTGGTGGAACAACTTAAGTAAGGTCAAGTGTCTCTGATTTTTTTTCCATATTCTTACTCTACTGTCAGTACAGAAAATGTGATACAGACCATACCACATGTTTTCAGCCATCCACTCAAACTGCACTTTCCTGCTTGCAGTAAGTGATTGTAGGACTGATTTTAGCTACCATATTACAGTTTTTTTAAATATCTTCTGCATGGTATGGTTGGTGAAAGTCAGATTCTGATCACTGTTGAGAGAATTGGTTGTCTTTGTTAGTCACCAGTGTTTAGCAGACAGTTTTTCCTAGTGACAATGTTATTCCCTTTTGATTATCATTTTTGATAAAGTAACAACAGATTTCTTTGAACAGCCATCCAAATAAACTGTCTTTGATTATAGTACAGTGTAGCCCCGTTATAACGCGATCATTGAGGTCCATAAAATGTCATCGCGAAACAAGCGGGGTCGCGCTAAATAGGGGTTTTGTCAGGATACACTTAAAATATTAAAAGTTATTAGTATGTAACCTATAACGAGGTTATGGTTACAAGGTCGGTCCCAGGGACTGAGCCCGTGTGGAAAGATTTAAAGACTCATTGCGTTATATCCGAATTCGCGTTAAATCGTGGCCCGTAAAATTTGGGTTTCACTGTACTTCTGTTAGATGGACACAAACTATTGTGCCCCTTTGAAAGTCAACATTCCTTGCTCTTATTATCTTACAGACCAACCATGATATGAAAATATTTTTGCTCTTATGAGGTTCCATTAGTTATGTGACACTTCATATGATCATTGTTTTGCATGTACAGATTAATATAGGGATCTACAAGTATGCTCGTGTTTGTGGGGAGGGTTCTGATAAAGTGGTTAATCACTGTAGTAGCCATGCCTATTATAGTCGACTAAATATACATAAAATTAAAAAAATAACTAAGTATTTTCAAGAATGTTAATTAATTTCTTGGAAAGATGGTACAACACTATCTAGGTTCATTGTGATTATAATAAGAGAGAAAAACAATTTTTTTTATATTGTCTATAAACTTCAATAAATATTAAACTGGTATGAATCGGAAATGCAGGAAAGCAACAGAATTTTTTTATGTACCTGAGGATCTTACTGAGATACTAAAAACTGTGTACTTGCCTGTGAAAAGTGTAAAAATGTTTAATGTGTTTTCTTAAATTACTTTAACTTAATAAAAACAATCCATTTTACAGTTATGTCTAAAAGCAATTAGTAATGTAAATTTTGTTTGTACTATATATTACTATAAAACATGCAAACTGTTTGTACTATGTATTACTATAAAACATGTAAATTTTGTTTGTACTATGTATTACTACAAAACATGTAAATTTTGTTTGTACTATGTATTACTACAAAACATGCAAACTGTTTGTACTATGTATTACTACAAAACATGCAAACTGTTTGTACTATGTATTACTACAAAACATGCAAACTGTTTGTACTATGTATTACTACAAAACATGCAAACTGTTTGTACTATGTATTACTACAAAACATGTAAATTGTTTGTACTATGTATTACTACAAACATGTACTATGCCTATTAAATTTACACTGCAGTCTGTAAAGTAGAATGTGCTGTAGAAAATCAAAACAAAAAGAACTTATTTTAATTAAAACATTGATGAGACTTATTACAATGAGTGATACACTAGTACTATAGGCTACCTAATGTCATGTAATAAAAGAGTTTACACTATAATGATACCGATTACTCCATTTATAGTGTAGAAAAACATTCATATGATTTATACTTCCTTTGTTACGCATATATTTTGGAAAGATGTTTATTCTAGTATACACATTTAGGTTTTTTTACATTTCCTTTGATATCTTATATTTTCCTTAAAAATGTTGCTCATCACATATTAGTTACTATGTCTTTACAAATAATAAATGTATTTGTTACTGTTACCCAGTGTAGCAGTATGATATTCTTCATGATTTTTGCTTTTCTTATTTAAACGTCAACTGGAAAGTATTGTTCTTCTTTATATGTTATACCTTTTAGGCACAATATTTAAAAGTAAGTTATGCTCAACTCTTTATCAACATTTCTGTCAAGACCATAGATTTTTAGAATTTGTTAATGATTATATTTTGGTGAAATTATTATTGGTTATGTTGTAGTAGGATCTGTTATACCTGGTAAAATATATTTCAAAGTTTTACATGATCTATCTAGATTGTTTATGGAAACAAAAAAAAAAGCTGTTGATTCTCACATAATAAGCTGTTCACTGTATTATTAATGGAGACAACCATTGCCTGCATCTTCTTTAAACTAATAGTGTATGATTGGTGTAATAGGAATATAGCCTCAAATTTTTGTATGTTTATTTTAGACTTGTAACTTGATGCAATCAAACATGAATATTCTTGCATTTTTGTGAATTAGTTTAATTTGGCCATCATGATACATACATATATATTTGGTTTTTCAGACCTCCTCTGTGTCTGGCCAGCACCTATATTCTACCGTGTCATCTCCACCTACAATTACCACACAAACCTCATCAGAGTTGTATCATTATGAACTCATACCTCATCAGATACACTTGCCAGCTAACCCCTCTGGAGTGCAACTGGCCACATATCCTACCCATACAACAACAGAGAACTTTGACTACACTGTGCTTGAAAATGAATGTGAGGTAAGTTTTGTGATAGAAAATACTTCACTTTAACTCTGAACTTACCAGTAGGGGTACATATGTCTTATATCAGATTTGTAAACACATATTCCTAAGCTATTTATCCACCAACTCGTTTGTAGATTCATGACTTTGCTGGTTACAGGATCCCTAGTAATGTTTAATGTCACACATACAAAGAATAAACAAATATTGTGTGAATGTTGTAATTAATCCCATTACCTGTTGATGAAATTTCCTGTGTATTTCACCCACTTTGTTTGGATTGGTTCTTTACACCGAGTGTTGTAACAGGCACAAATATAAAATTATTTAAAATGATGCAGTATGTGTTCCCAACCAGTAGTGAACAGTATATAAACACGTGGGTAATTTGAAAGTTGATTAAAAAAATTAATTACAGATTGTTTTTTGTTTGTTTTTTCCATAAAACCTTGTTCTAAGATTTCAGGGATTTAACAATCAAATATTCTGCCTTTTCAGTAACACAGTACATTATCTGCATTGTAATAAGAAATGTGATTTATAATTGCTTTCAGAAATTGATGTCTTCAACCAGGAATATGCAAGCAAAAAAAAACAAAAAAGTTGTTACTTTTAGTAAGAGTGATTGAACCAAACAGTTGAACCCTGAGTTATATGGGGGATATGTTCCTGAAAAAACACCATGTAAGTTGGAATTGTGTAAATCGAAGCATTAAATACCTGGTACCAAGACTTGATAACCTTATTTCATAATAAAAGGATATTTAAACACAAAATAATGGAATTAATAGCCTTATTAAAACCTTTACTCACAAATAACAACTCGATGAAATTACAAATTAATAAATCAGGCTAGAAAAAACTGTTAAAAAGATAAAATAATACTTCTAATTAGACAGGTGTAATGTGAAGCACTGTGATAAAAGTACTGGTAAAACATTGTTGGACTTATTACGAAAACATTATTAAAATTAGCAGGAATATAAAAAAAACAAAAGTAATTAGAACAATTAAAATTGGATTCAGAAATATAAACACAGGAATATCATAAATATAAATTTGCCAAATAATAAGATGATAATATAATAGCTTAATACAATATAATTATAATCCAGGGAAATAATTATGGAAAGGAGAAGACTTTTGCAAAGGGAAGGTCAATTTATTCAAGTTTTTCTTATCATATCTTGTGCAATAACATTCATTTAAGACTCCTAATCAACAACTGTTCTACCACATAAACGTGAAGCAGTGTATCGTGTAAGTTAAAACATTGGTCACATTATATAAAGCATTTATATGTGAATTAGGGTAGCTCGAACCTATGTAACTCGGGGTTCGACTGTATTTTGTTGGTTTTGAGATGCAGTTATGAAGATGCAATGAATCATGAATCTTTTTAAGTGATGCTTATCCTAAGCTCTATTAACAATTTTGTATTTATCTGCTCTAATAGTGATGTCACATACACACTATTAGTTTGTGTTGAATAATATTATATGTATTGTGTGCAGGATTTTTATGGGCCCTGGAAAATCTATAGTTTTGGAAATTTGTGGAATTTAATTTCCAGACCTTGAAAATCCCTGATAAATTATAATATAGTCAGAGAATCATGGAAGATTAAAGTGCTTTCATCAAAATATTTTTATCCAGAAATTTAACAACATCAGCAAATAAAATGTTTCTGTTTTGGGTATTTGTAAATTCTGTCTCATATGATTCATAACAACTTATTTTTAGTTACCAGAACAGCAAGTTACATTCTGCAAGGCAAATGCGGCTACTTTTTCAATTAGAAATGTGTAATTAGTAATTCATTGTATGTACTATATGCATTGCAATAATAATTATAATTAATATGTTAAGGGATGACCATGCATCGATAATAATGTTTAACAATAAACTACTTTTTCTAAGATACACCCTTGCACTGGACACTAATGAATAATACCATGTTGGTGTGGATACTGAAGGAATGTGTGCATGCTTTTCTGTTATTAACCTTATTGCCATGTATAATGTTCACCATGATGTAGTTATAGTTTGAAACATCAGCTCTAGATTGATGTAATTAATTTTCATGAATTAAAAGGTTTAATGTGTACAAGGAAACTTCGGTTTCTATGGGCAAGCATTGGCACAGATAATCCAGTTCTTAAAGTGATGGCTGTAGAAAAACATCAGTATCCATTATCTCACATTAGTCTAACTATTATAATATTGCATGGATTATCAGCTCATGAATTTAGTGAAACATGAGTTGATTATGATGTTACTTTGAGTATGAGCAGAAATAACGCGTGTTGCTAATCTGCAGTAGTTCAGTAGCATGTTTTTAGATTTAACCATTTCAAATTTTAAGAGATCACTAATATAACACTTAGCAACAACAAAAAATTAAATAATTTTAAACAATAAGTAAGAGAAATGTATAAGTAACAAAGTTGATACTGATAGGCTTGAGTTTAAAAGAAAAATTTAGTACATCACACAACTCTGTTTGTGTCACATTTTAATAAATAAAGTTATTCTACCCCTGGCATGACTTCTTTGCCATGATTGGCTGAGAGGTGGTATGAAATATTTTTTCAATGTTTCCTTGAGAGCTGGGCAACAAATTGCATCAGTGTTGCCTGTTTGTCAAGGCCATTGACATGTAGGCATGATGTCACAGCAGACGTTTGCAGACATTTTTGTTGTAGCACAGTGAAAACCTGCTGATTCATTAGGACTAATTATAAACAATATGCTCAAACCTGTAAAATGAATGTGAACATGTGATTGTAGTTACAGGTGAAGAGCTGCAGAGTTGCTTAGACAGCAAAACTTTGCAGGTGACAATTTTTGTAGCACAGTGGAAAACATGCAGACTCATTTAGGTTGAATTTACATACAAAATTGGAAACCTTGCCAGAATTCTAAGCAAATTTTATGCTAAGTTAGACATGTGCATACCTTGTACATTTATTAGTATGAAGACATGATGATGTACTGTTATAGCTTAAAAATTAAAGTTTCTAAATCTCATTGATTTGTTATTGATTCTTAAATTGAGATCAAAATCTTCAATGAAATTTTAAATTTGAAGATTTACATGTAGAGCTGGAGAAGTAGGCTAAATATCCTATGTGAGAGTGCTAATTAATCTGATTTTAGTAAAACTTAAATATAAAAGGAGTGGCAGTGAAATAAAACAATTATTGGCTGGTCGAAACGTTGTACATTTGCTGTTATGTTAAACTTATATTAAAGTTTTTCTTCATTACCCATTCAAACCGTCTCCAATCATTATAATAAGATGCAACAGTTCAACATAATAATACTGATATTTATGGAATTTTTGAGTATTTTTTTTTTAACTCACCATATAGTAACCTAAATTGATTTGAGTGTTTTACAGTAGACCAACTGTTTAATGATTATATTACAGATTTCTTTTCATCAAAGTAATACACCATTAAAGGGTTGGTCTGTCGTCTAATGTCAAATAATAGATTAGGTACAATAATATTATTCACAAACCTAAATCAACTTAGGTGTATTATATGGTGAATTGAAAATAACCCAATAAATATTACATACACATCCGCATTATAAAAGGTTTAACTGTATTTCTTTGTTTTGCTGTACACAGCAGAGGGTATAGTGAATCAAAGAATGCATTAGGCCTCAACGTCATAGATTATATTTTGAATTTTACCTTTAGTGAAAAGAAATATGTAATATATGATGATACTAACATTTTAATTTTTAGTGTGGCAATACCCTACTGTAATGAGGTCTTCAATGTTGGTTTGGCTATTTACTGCTCACTCTAAGAAATTTTTTTTTATTTTGTAAAAGTTTTTTTTTTCTTAAAGCTTCACAACTTACAGATTCCACAGTATTGAATTAGACAATTTGACAACTGTGTATTCATACGTTTCACTGTATTTTCAGTGATGTAAATTGTATGTCTGATTCTTAACATTACAGTTTATATGTAGAATGTTTCTTGTTTCAAAGTTATTGAAAAAAATGTGCATACTTAATGTAGTAATTCATATATCCCAAAGGACCTAGTCTAAAATAAGTTTGATAAATAAACCAACAGGACAGTGTTTAACCATTTCATGCAGTGATAAAAGTGAGGGGGGTGGCTTTTATAATTGAAAGTTTGTGTAAGAAATTCAGTGAGGAGCATAACATTTTACACAAAAACTTATGTTCACTGGATAAGACTGAAATTATGGCTATTGACAGTTAGGTGGATCTGGGAGCAAAGGGTGTGTTGAACCTATTACCGTGTTATGCAAAGTCATCCAGAGTCATACAACTGCTTTTGTCAAAGCTAATGGTGCTTTTTCCTTTTGTATTATACAGTGTATAATTATTGCAATGTTGTACTGTATAGTTGAGTTTTTATAATTCAGTTAATGGAAATTAAAATGTGGATGTTACACTTAAGAAAAAAATATCATATGTGTTTAGGTTTGTAATTAATTACAGTTTGATGTTTTATGATATTGTAGATAACATATATTGTAATTTGTTACATTTTACTTTATAATGAATTATTAGTATTTCTGTTATATAGAAAGTTTAATATTGATTTCACATTTTAGGGATATAAGCCCTCTTATCCCAAAACAACCCCCAGCATCATAGAGAATTATGCAGTTGGCCTGGAAAGGCACAATATTCCAACCTCTGCTACTAGATGTCATAGTTCTGGAGAAAATACCTCAAGCCAGAAACATCTGGTTCCCAAGATGGTGAATGGTGTCACTGTGATGGCTTACCACAACCCCTGCAATTGTTGCTACTCCCTAACCCTATAGAGATAAAGCCTGTGGAGATTATGGAACTGTTATGATTGCCCCTGAAAGAGACATTGAGCTCATCCCAGCTTTATCTATGTCTCCAACTCTTCCCTCAACATCTGTGCTGTTTTACTTGAAGGAAACCACCCAAAAATTACGGACTCCTTTTCTGTAATAGTAATATTTTTTTGGTCTAGATATTTTTCAAACATTCTCTCTCCCAGGAACTATTCTTCCCAAATCTAAAAGAATGTACTAAACTAATTTTGTTCCACTTGTGCCTTCGGAAAGAAAAAAAATTGTGCCTCTTCTTATTGACGTCGGTCTGTCACAGAAAAAGTTTATTTCAACCTCAAAAACTGAGTCAACGTCCCAACTTAAGGAAGCTAATTTTGAGAAGTTTACTTATATTTTGCTTTATATTTAGTGAATTGGATGTTGCAAAATCTTGCCAAGAACATCTGTGCCAAATTTCAGCTCAACTGTACGTGAGCTTTTATATATATATATATATTAATTTTTTTTTGAAGCATTTTATTAATCTCCTCTCTCATCATTTGTGCTGAACTGCTGATGCTTTTCAAATTGGATTGTCTTAGTGAAACTTTGTTAATCATGCCCATTCCATGTTGAAAAATCTTCAAAACTGGCATATCTCTCAAAGTGCCATTCTTTTGTTAACATATTTCAAAGAAGTTTACTAATTAGCACATTATGGTTTTATGTTATCGACCTTGATTATGTTCTATAACACAGTTCTAGTCAAATGGCCACATCAGATCTTGACTTTTGCAGCTGAACATGACTACATGATCTTGGATCTCTAAACATGCTATTGATATAAAAAGTTGCATTTGATATAACATTTATTTATACATGTTCTTGATACTTCCTGTGATAAAATGAAGTTGTCCATTGCCCATGTTTTTGGATGATGATGAAGCAACTCAAAAAGTGTCAGGTTGTGTTTGTCATATGTAGTATGTTTGCTGTCTCATCATAATGAAAAGACTGTTACACTTCATCTACGAAACATACAAAAAACACTAGTCACTTATCATTACTCTGTAATTATTATTATTATTAGCATTTCTAACTACTAAAATTATTAAAAAATTCTCTGTAATTAGCAACTTGATATTTTGTTAAGACTAGAGGCTAATATTGTTTTTAGCTTGTAAAACAAGCTGTTTTAAAAGAGATGAAAATTATTTAAGAAAAACAGTAGTTTAAAGTGATTTTATAAAGAAAGTTTGTTTTGTTTTTGCTTAATTGCCAAAAATACAGGTTTTGATTATATATAATGTGTCAGTTGTTAATTTAACAAAAATCTACATTGTACAGTAAAAGCTATTTTCAGGGTGTTTTATGTTAGACTTATCTTTTTTCCATGGTTGTGTCAGTTTGCTAAATGTGTCTAGTCTGGATCCATATAGTTCTCCGAGTTATGTGACTTATCTTCTTTAAGCTGTTGAGTGTCAACTTGTGAAATATAATATATACTCTTGTAGTTTTTAACAAAATGCCTGTTAAACTTTCTAATGCACGTGCCTTAACATATTTGTAATATAGATTACATAAAATAGTTGTAGCAAATGTTTCGTGTACTTACTTGTGGACTGTAGAAACATATTCTTTAACCCATTAACTGCAGCAGGAGCAGCTCAGTTGCCGTTTTCTGACTCGCAGATAAAACTGAGTTGTCATCAATCACAATAAAACTATAATTTTCGTCATTCGCATAGAGTTATAGTTATATATGTGTGACTGATGGATATTTCCATCATTTGCAGCTGAGCCATAGAACTTCAATGACAGAAATGTCCGTCATTCGCAGTTAATGGGTTAATGTTAAACTACATATATAATGATATTTTCTAAACAGTAAGTCCAGACTGTGGAAGATAATTTTAGAAAATAATTGGTGATATTTAGATTGTTTGTGAATTTTTAGATTTCTATCAAAAATTATTATGATTCACTTAATCAACAAATAGTTGTTTAATGTTTTTATGAAAATTGTTAAAATTGAAACATTCAGGTGGTTTTATATCTCATTGTATTTTACACGGAAAGCTTAAAATCTATTTTAATACTTGAACTACACAGGTTATGAAAGCGTGGGTATTTATTTCAAAATAGGTGTATTTATGTGTATTCACGTCTTGAAATTCAGTAGTACTATAATTTGTATAAGCTCACCCATTTTATGTATCCAGTCATGAATATAAACTATGATACTCATGATACTGTTCTTGTTTTATTATAGAGAGTTTTGACCACTGAAGTTTTTTTTTCTTTAATAGGTTGTGTGCACATTTTATAATTTTGTATCAAAACATAATTTATTTCACATACACAAACATAAAACATTAAATTTATAAGCTTTAAAATCAGTCTGCATTATACTAAAAGATTTTGAATATGTTAATATGTAAGTCATGTGATAACCCTAATTAATATAAAGTTGAGGTGGAACAGAATGTTTCACAACTACATTTTGACATTGTGTCATTTTTGTGGGTAGTGTTATGTCACTAAAAGTTATTGCTTTTGGGAATGGTATGTAATATCCCTTTCTAATGCAAAATGTTTGTACATTCAGATTATAAAGATGTGTGTTCTGATTGGGAATTTAGAATATACATGGTGGGAAATATCACTTGTATTTAATGGCACTGGAAAGCAAAGGAATATGGATCAACTTGAGAAATCAGGACCATTCAGAAGGAGATCTGCAACAAGTTGTATCCTAGCAACTTATCGCAACACACAATTTGGAAACCACCGTTGTAGATAAGAGGTAAATCCACAGTCCAGTGTGTAGTGGTTTTGTAGGCTAATGATAGTAGTTACAGTTCTTAATCAGAGGCCCTGCTTCTTTTATCCTCGTATATTGTTAACTGGTTTAAAAAAAGGTATGATTGTGGTTGTATTTTTCTACACTGCACAAAGCAAAGGATAATTGAAGTGTGTAATGCTATAGTTATGATAAATCAAAAGCTACTTTTATAAGATAATGACAATCAGCCCTCCCCTATTAATTCATTCTTATGCAAATTAGCCATTCAGTCTGCTATTCATAGTGGTTGTCACTTTGAACCACAGAGTTTAGAGTGCTCCAGAGTTTTCATGAACTGTGGTTAGACCTCAAAGAAGACATTCAGGTGTTTCACACATAAAGGCCCTTTGTAGGAGGTTAAGCTGGCCAACCACAGCAAGCTGATTAATTACCATTAGCAGAATGTGAAATAGATTTGACATTAATGACACAGTTGCTTGAAAACCTGGACATGGAAGATGGCCAATCAAAACACAAGCAGATTACAATGATCAATTGATTCTTGATCGTTGTAATCATAGAGTACCTGTCATGAGACTGAATCAAATGTTTGTAGCCACACTTAGATGTTATGTCAGTCTACAGAAGATTTGAAACAGATTTAACAAAGCTGGAATGTATACCAGATATCTAATGAGGTGCACTTTACTTACAGCAAGGTATGAAATATCTCGCCTGTGACAAGAACATATGTAGTAAATCATATCTCGCCTGTGACAAGAACATATGTAGTAAATCAATGATGTGAAGCACTGTTTTTTCTACTGGTGAATTGGGTTTCTTACTGTATTAGAATAACAGATGTTTACTTATTTGGAACCAGGCCCAACCCCATATAGATACAGGATGATGACACATATGGCTGTTGTACAGTGGGAGTATAGTATGAGCAGAGTTAACCATTGATCAATACATACTTATCTGTTCATCTGCAGAATGTTATCATTAGTGTGACACATTATAGGGACCACACCGTGTGATTCTTTGCATTCATAAGTTGATACAGCTAGAAACTTTAAAAAGATTTAGCTTGTTGAGACATTGTTCCAGATATTTGTTTTCTTAACTCACCATATGTGTATAAGACCATGTCTACCCTACTTTGTGGTGCAAGAAGTAACCAAATTTATATATTAACCTTAGTTAATATATAAATTTTTCAAAATCTGTTCATGTTGAGCATGTGTTATTAATATAGAAAGTGGAGGGAGGTATTAAGTTCTTCTGGCCCCAGTTATCACAGAATTTTGTCAGTCAATAAGGGTGTTGTGTGTAATTTTTCACAGAAAAGATTGCTACGATGTAGAACACAGAAATAGACAGTGATATTTTTCATTGGTAAGTCATGTGATGCCCTAAAGATACAATATCTCTTGAATGTGAACAGTGACTTTGAGTCACATGTATAGCAATGGTGGCCTGAGAAGAATGTCATTTTTCCTATTAGTCTCATACCATGTTTTCTCAGTATGACATAAAAGATATTTAGAGGTCTTAACAGATCAAAATAAAGATTGCCATCCAGTAAATGTGTAACAAAATACACTTGCCTTAAACTTTGGGAAGGTGTCAGAATTTAAAAATATGTCTTTGCCAGTTGTCAAAATAAAAAAAGGCTTTTACATATATTTCTGAATAGTATAAATATATACTACGTTGTTGTTGTTGGGCTTAGGACTCTTGTATCGTAGGCATCTGTGACTTGTTAGCTATAAATTCAACAATGAATAAGCAGCACGCACTTCACTTGTTTTCAAAATAATATATATATATATATATGGAACAAGTTAATCGTATGTACAACAAATTCTTCACACTATAGAGATTACATGCATATCAATAAAAACTATATATAGTATATATATATATATATATATATATATATACTTCTCTTCTT